GCTACTGACCCTGCGGCGCTGACCTGCGCAACCGGGATCAACGAGGAGTCAGCTGCTGCGAGAACGGATGGAGAAGGAGATCCACGCTCTGCGGCACCGCCAGATAACAGACTGAGGACCACCTGTGCTGGGGAGAAGTCTCACCTGTCGGTCACGGAGGACGTCGGCGCAGATGTTAGCCCAGCAGTCACAAGCCTGTTCTTGCGCATACCTCTCCCGCCGACGCCTGATCACAAACAGCTCCGCCCTGAGGGGCAAGACCCTCTGGGGCGAACTGGGGATGTTAGTCATGCAAGGTTTGCTACTGATGGGGGCCACCTGTACTTTGGGCAACAACAACGAGAGAGCGCTCGTGATGGGGCGAGTGACGAAGTCCGAGGGCAAGTTATTGAAGCCCACAGGGCTGGCCCAGCGCCCCCCCGCATCGCAGCCATTTCGCGGGCGCGCCTGTCACGCGACCCAGGAAAATGCACGCATGGTGAACGACCCAGTTTTTGCGCTGCTGGGGGAGCTAGATGTAGAAGGGTTTTAACAAGCTATCAGATTTCTCAAAGCACAGTTTGATCAAGATGACCAACCAGGTTTCATCCCTCAGGAGGCTTATAATGCATTTATTCCTCTAGTATTGCCGAATGACGCTACCGGCGCAGCCGAGGAAGCGGAGGCAAACATGTTGAGACAGGGCCAAACGCCCGCCATGTTGGGAAGCTGCGAATGTTGCAGAAAATGCGGTCACCGAGCGTGTTCCGATGTTGAGTTTGTCGTTGAACGCGCGGTGTGCGTGGCCAGACATTGTGCCGAATGTGCCCGATCATCGGGCGGGTGGGTGTAGGCGATATCATTCGGAAGATCGGAAGATGACGAGCGATGGAATCACTCATGCCACCACTGTTCTTGCAGTACTTGGTCTAACAATGTTACTTTCGGGAAAAGTTGATGCCTCGGCATAAAGGCCGATGACATTCTGGTCCTTGAACAGACGAGGCTAATGGAGCACTGGCAGTCCTTTCTGAATCCAGACGCCTCATACGACACAGTCGTTGATGAGGTAAATGGAGATGCAGTTAGTTCCATTGATAGAGCTGAACGGGCTTGTAGGCCCATACCAGTGTTCGTTCGCGCATGTCAAGGAGACTCTTGTTTCGCCCACAGCATGGAACGCATGTGTGCGCCTTGCGAATTCAGGATGGCGCAATGCCATGGGCATTTACTACACGTTACGAGCCTGGAAGCCATCAAGGAGTTCACGCTAGGCTCAGGGACAATGAAGTACCCAAACAAGCTTAGTGGATTGTGCAAAGCACCCGATTACGGACTCCATAGATTTATACCTACGAGGCGCGAGTTCCCTGCATAATTTGCCGAGCACACCCCTCACTGGCTCCGCCGGCGGAAGGATAGCGACGCTCCACTCGCAAAGGTCTATCAGGCCGCGGGCGCTGCCCCGGCAGGGGGTGGACCTCCGACTCAGGGAACTCGGCCTCGTGCAATTCATCTCTCTGGGAAACTGTTGCGACGCATAATGAGAACTGGCAGTATGTTGTTGTCTTCAACTGGCGGGTGGTGACCCGCCTAAGGTATCGCATCTGCCGCGACGGCGCTCTTGTGACAACAGGGCAAGCACGCTTCAATGACGTCTCTCGCATCGTGCAGTTGACGTTGGTTGAGCAGAATGCACGTAACACACAGCAGATGATCTGGAACATGATATTTTCTCAAGAATGGTCTGCAAATGAATTCGCTTTCTCGCAAGGCACAATTAGAACAGGGGTATTTTCAGACGAGGAAGTGACCGATGTAGGGCAGAGTTCACTGCCCGAAAAAGAACGGGCCCTCATCGCGCGGAGAATGTGGACTGAAGATGGGAAATACATGTGCAATCAACACCATGCTGCGAGGGCTGGTTTCGGATATTGTTTACAATGCCTCACCCCCGTCTCGTGCAAACACAACGTCCGACTGAACTATTTACAATCACCTGGCAGAGACGCATTGGTTGCTGCATGGGCGCGCCCCCAAGAGGGGAAAGCGGCTCCAATATCATATTTAGCAGGCGGAAGGCGATGAGAAAGAGCTCTTCCGATGCGCTGGAAAGCTTGAACAAAGCTGACCAACACCAGCGCAAGTGGGTTAGCAATCCACAGATGCGTTTCCGGGCTGCTTCGGCAGGCTGTACGTTTGTAAATTCGCTGCCGGGGACAGTCCCTTCCTGGAGACCGGACAGCGCCTCGGCATAGCCGCCGGCGCGTCATGAGTCATGCTTCCAGTATCTGGAACCACTCAAGCTCCGATCCATTGCGTGGTTGAAGCTCAAGCACGGGGAAAATGCCCCAACCGCTGCCCAATGGTGTCCATTAATCTGGACGCCAGATCTGAACCGATGCGCTCGTCCAATGAGATGCTCTGCGCTAGGTGTTTTTGATCGGGAAAACGTTAGTGGCGAGCACATTCGTCCACAGACAGGCTGGCACCAATGGGAACAGGAAGTGGCGGGAAAAAGGAATACAAATTCCATCGGTTCAAGTGTGAACGGACAACTTGATTGAAGCCAGCCAAATTCCTGCGTCGAACCAAGTTAGAGACATAGACTTCCAGCATATTGCTGAACTCCATCATCGGCCCAGCCGCATTGATGATGTGATATCAGCCCGTGAGGAGAAGGCTGCGACGTCGGACGGCATATGCTACCAACATATTACCCAGCATCATCAGCTGATTGCCCCAACGAGAACGCCGCCTTTTTGGCTTGATGTGCATTCTATGTATGGCTGCATGTCTAATTCTAAGTACAATGATGACCCGCGCGATAGGCCAGACATTATCAGAGTTGCAACGGAATTCATTCTTGAATATTTATCGACATCCCCAGCTACGACGCCACTGGACAAAGACAGCATTCATGATGTACCGCCTGGATTGTCCGTGCACGTGGATAAAATAAAGAACCAGCCATTTGACCGAATCCCCACTCACGGGAGCTGGGGATGGATTCTGTTAGCTGTACGAGAAGTAATATGATTGCTCATGTCTGCGGGAATAAATGTTGCATTTCCGGGATGCGAGGTACAGCGTGACCCGAACCATGCGAATGCAGCTCTTGAAGCTATGCGTGATGCTTCTGCCTTGGATTGTCGGATTAGATCCGCTATTGAATCATTTGACCTACTTCATGAATGGACCAGGGGATTTGGAAACGAAGCGTTAGAGACCGTCAGACGGAATTGCCCAAGCATCCAAGAAGCTATAGTTTTCATGCGGTCGTCTACGGAATCTCATTTTAGTGTCAAGATCTGTCTTGCCAACAGCCGTTCTGGATTCTTCGACGCAGACAATGCCACTGGAATTACCAATTGCCCGAAGAAGAACAAGGAGGAGAGCGGCCCAGCCGACTCTCCCGCAGAGACAACCCCAGCAATCACGACCGTTGAAGAAAACACGCCGAGCGGCGCCGCCTCTCCAGGACAGCGAACTCAGCGATGCCCTCGCCCGGAATCGAGAGCGAGGTATTGGGGGGAAGGCAGTTCTATAGGACCGCCCCTTACGCTCCTGTGCCCGCCGGCCCAGCCGCGTCGGGCATCAATGCTGGCTGGATTGGCTCTGATAGGATCCAGTCATGGGCAGATGAATCTTGTGCCGAGGAGCCCGTTATAGAGAGATCGGCGACGGCGGCGGCCCCGGGCCGGCCGCGGACGGCAGCTGCGACGCGACGGTCGACTACGAGGACAAGAATGAAAATGGAGAAGTTCAAGGATACTACGTACATGCATCTCGTCATCAGCGGGCCACTGGCCGTTCCGAAACTTGGCATTGGTTTAGTTTGAACGATTACAACGACAAATTCAAACGTGACTCTGCGATGCCGAGTACCTTGCCAGAGCCTCCGCCGCCGCCTACGCCGAAGGCGAGGCCGCGCGAGAAGGGCCAGGGCAAGAGTGAGCCAAGCAGCTGGATTTCAAGCAGAAAAGAAAATAATAGACATGACAAATATTCCCAACCGTCCTGTGGTGTCGGGTCCTCGTTTTGAAGAGGCGGTGCCCCGCGTTCCCTCCTTCCTCCTCTCCTCCTCCCCCTCCTCCCTCCTCCCTCCTCCCACAGTGCTGCCGCCCGCATGCGTCACGCGCGCTCATGTCGGCACACCTCTCACGCTTTCCGTGGCCCCATAGGGAGCTCCACCGGGGACAGCAATTGCCACCACGGTGATAACAAGCGCGATGGTAAATTGGGAATGGAGCACAGGAATAACACCATGGTGGTCGGACAAGAACGGGATACACGCCTCGAGACGCACGAGGAGAAGATACGCTGCTGAAGGAGGCTCAGCTTTCAAGGCGCTACATGAGGGAGAAGAACAGGACTGAACTCCTGCGCCTGAACTCCCACGTTCGCTACTGAACACGAGTAATGTATATGTGGGGTACGTCGGCCCGCTCCGACCGTGCCCTCTGAGATTTCCTGCGGGATTATCGGCGCCTCCTACCCTGTATGCCCGAAGCGTTTTTGGGGGCGCGCATCGTGGGGGGAGGCCAGTGTGCCTTGGGGGGGGGTCCAGGAAACCGCGGTGTTTTCTGGGCTGGGTTGGTGGTTTGGGTCTACGCGGCCCGCCGCGGGGGGAGCAGTTTTTGCTCTCTCCCCGTTCGCTCTGCGCCGCCGCCCGCTGCCGCCGACGCCGTCCCGCAGCTGTGTGTTGATCTCGAACAAGGCAGGGACGCGCGCCTCGCGCGCGCTAGGTGAAAAAGAGCATTCAATGAAGGGAACGATATAGTTTTTTATGTTTTTTTTTTTTCTCTCTCTCTCTCTCTGGCTTTATACCTTATTCCTATCCCTGTGCGTTCATATTACAGCATCACGGATCCATCATTCTCCATGATACCCGTAACATACCAGTAGCGTTTACCCCCACGCTCGCCGGAAGTAGTGACTACTTGGCGAATCATGATTTCCGCCCCCAGTCCCCTTGCTCGTCGTCATTGCGTCACCCTTGCGCGCGGGCGTCTTCGCGCAGTGGCCCCAGCCCTTGCCCGCCCTCCTGCTGCCCGCGCGGCCATGTCCGAGCTGCGGCGGCGCCGCGCTCGGGGAGGCGAGGCCGCCGCGGCCGGGCCCGCGCGCGCCCCCGGCGGGGTGCAGGCACCGAGTGGGCCCAACGCGGCGACGACCACGGGCCCAGGCTCTCTTGTGGATCGGTGTGTGCTCTCGGGGGGCAGAAAGGGTACGGTGGGTTCACGTCGTGTCGACCGGCGGCGACCCCGCCGCGGGCGTTCAAGGTTGAACGCCGCTGGTGGCCTAGAATCGGCCTACATGGAACGATCTGGCTATCGACAAGCCGCCGATCGTTCAAGGTTGAACGATCCACGCGGTGTCAGAGACCAACGCCGGGGTCGGCACGACACGAACCTGCCGTAGGGGGAGTCTCTCTCTCTCTGTCTTTTTTTCCCCCCCATCTCTTTCTCCCGTCTCTCCATTCGGGCAAATCCTTTCTGGACCTTCAGGGGAAAGCTGCTCTGGCTTGGGGCAAATTCTCTGAACAACCCCCTCTCTTGCATTGGCGGGCCTGCAGAGGCTGCTGCCCACAGGTGGGGGCCTGCGCGGGGGGGGGGGGCGGCACACGGCCGAAAGGCTTCCCACGGATTGAAGAGCACGGGGCCGGCCCAATCGACGATGTCGAACGAGTAGTCCTTCCCGTGCATTTCAGAACTGGAGTGGTGGCTGCATTCGGAGATGGTGACAACGGGGAAGGTGCCCAGGACATATATACTGAACTCCGTCGGTCATACCACGAGCGTGAAATTTCGATATCGTCCGCGTTCTAAACAGATGGTCATGCTTTTGGCATCAGGGTTCAACATTCCCTACAGATTTGGCCATACCATCGACATCATCTTAAGCAACCCATAAATACTTTGTCATGCCATTGGCATCGGGGCTCAACTCCCTTAAGACGGTCATGCCCTGTCACAGTCAATTGCCTCGTTTCTTATTTCCCCGTGCAAGCTGTCTGACCATGTTGCCCTCCGCCGCCTTGCCTCCGAATAGTCCGCGTCCGAGGCTCGTCAAACTCTCCACGAAAATTGTCTCCTCTGGCACGATCGAGCCCGTCAGCTTGAATATTCCCGTCGGCGTCTCTGTTGAGTTGCAACTGTGCAAGGGATTCGCCTCCGTCGTGGTGGCCTTCATCAGCTAGTCGTGCTCCTTCTCCACTTTTGTGAGCAGCGCCTCTCTGCGGAAACTGAATCTGATGCGGACCTTGCTTTCTTTCCCTGGTTTGTCGTACGTCGGCAACACGTTGTCGTTCTGCACCTGTTTCCAACATCGAACGGAGGCGCTGCGGTGCACCTGCTAGAAACGCGGGGAGTCGTCCTTGTGCTTGTAGCTCAGGATAGCATCGAGAGCCCCCAAAGGGTAGTGGAAAGCTAGGATACCTGTGTCTGCGACCTTCTCCTTGCGCTTCTTCACGTACTCCTGAAACGAGTTGCTGATCGCAGTAACGAGTGGCGACTTCTTGACGATGAGCACTCTGACCTGGGCCTCGTTCTCCAGCGTGCGAACTCGCCCTTCTAGCTGAGTGAGCAGCGCCTGCATGATGGCCATGATGCTGTCCACCTCATCCTCGTCCTTGTCCGCGGCCATCACCCCCTTGGTCTTCTTGGTGGGGCCGCCGCCTCCAAGTAAACTGGCGCGTTGACTGGCTGTCCTCGTTGAGCCTGGGCGTGCTATCCATGACTTCGCGGCATCCTCGCCCGTCTCGCCTGATCTCTCGATTATGAAATGACGGTGGAAACAGAGGCTGTATGTGAGTGTAGCAATACTCGAAGAAATCGGCTGCGGACTCCATCTCGTTGAGGCACAATGGGCATTTCAAGTTTGCCAGTGGCTCCATGGAGACTGCAAACCGTAGTCTCGCCTTCGAGCAATATCCCCTCATCATGCTTGCAGCGATGTGTTCGTGTGCAACCTCTTTGTCCCTAAACGTGCTGTCACACATCATACAATACTTGGTCGTGGTGAGGAGCTCCCCGATATGACATTTCCCGTGCGTGCCCCCCTGATGTCGCCGATCCATGAGCACGTAATTGTGTTTTATTCGGCCACGTCGTGCCACGTACAGCGCCATCATCGAGGGTCGCCATGAATCTGTACTCGCCGCATTTCGTGTTGGCCTGAGCCGAGCCATCGGGCGTTCGTTGAATGAGAAAACCCCGGCGCGGAGCTCGTCTACGTCGAGCTCCACGAAGTCGTGAGATTTTTCATATAAGAGTTCGAACGTCGTCTGATACGTGTGCAGTGTGGCTCCAGCCTCAGTCGCCGTGAGCGCGTCTAAATCTTGCTGGGCCTGACGGGCCCATGGACTGGCCTGCTCCGATACTCGGCATTCTTCAAACACTGACCCATCGAACTTGGCCGACCCGGAGACAGCGGAAAGGAATTGCGAGTTATCATCTCGATCATCGCGCAGCTCCGCGAGCTTCTACAACCACCTAATCATCCGTATCCGAAGTTCCAAAAGCAGAGGGGCGAACCACAATTTCCGCATAATTTCGTGGTGTATCGTGCGCATGTGCGTAGCTTTTCCCCCCCGCCGTGCTGTGCCGTGTAATATCGTCCGTCACTTCTTCAGCGTGAAGCTCTGGAGGTGCCTCAGGTCATTCTCCCTAAGCGGACCAGAACTGTTAACGGCAATTTCAAGGCCCGACACGGCCGTATTCATCAGGAATCATTGTACCATGGTCCGTTTGACCGAGAAGGGGTTTATGCTGAACCAGAGTCGCCACATGGAGTGGTGCTCCGCTTTGACCGTATTCAACCGCTTCTGCAGTTTTGGTCATGGTAGCTGACTGGAGCCCACCAAAGTAGCGGATGTGGTGCTTAGTCGTGTTTGCGATGCCCGTGGTTTCGCCAGCATACAGCGCCTTTGTAGCTCGTAGGATCCCCTCCCCATGAAGTAGCACACGTTCTCTTGCTTCCCGATGTTCTGGCCGACTCCCACCTCCTCCAGTCTTGCGTCTATGGTTTTGTCATCTCCCATGTTCCCCCTCGTGATGGCTGCCTCCTCCATTGTCCCCTCCCCGTCCTCCACCGCCGTATTAGCGAGGTCGTCCACATAGCCCGTGAGGGCTATCTGTTCTTGACAATATGGTTGCCAGGGCCGAGCTGCTTCAACACATGGGTGCTATCCTTGAAAAACAACGCAATCAACAACATTTATTGTAAAGGGGTCAGGGTAAGTCTTGCAAAACAATTGCGTGGCGCCCGTGGCGCTTGGAAACAGGCCTCGACCAGCACGCTGTCAGTTGGAACCGCTCTCGTCTTCTAAGTTTTGTGCCGAACTCGGTCGACGGTGAACTGTCTACCACATGGTGCATAGCGCGCGTGTGCATTGTACGGTATTCTAGCGTGTTGTATCGTGTGGTAGGCGTTCGTGGCATCATGACATCTCAGCATGTGTGTGGCCCTTGCGGCTTGCATCCTATACGATCCCGCCATTTGCGCGCCCATCGCCGACTCCCGCCGATGCCTCCGAAGACCTCCATGGAGCCAGTTGGGGGGGGAGCTCACCTATGTGCGTCTCGCGCGAGTGCAATTGCGTGCGAGGCTCGGCCAAGACAGCACATGACCATACCGAGGCGCTCACCGGCAAAGTCGAGTGTGTGATTATTCTTAGGTAGTATCGCCGCTTGTGCACCGTGCCAGCTGGCGAGGTACCTCTGGTTCTTCCTACACGCTGGCAGAAGAGTGTTCACGGCGTCCTTGGACTTGTTGGTGCTGGGGAACTCCTAGTCGAAACCGATGCATCCTCATCGTTTGGATCTCCTCTCGTTGGTCCAGTTGGGGTGCAGCAGAAGCCTCAGGATCTCGGGGGGTTACACCAAGATTGCCATGTCCTCAAAAACTTGAGTTTCCGAACAGCTCCTGGGAGTTCACCCCAGCCGTCTGTTGCGTGGTAGAGGGCCTCGGAGTCTTCAAGCCGCGGCCTGGCCTCGGCGTCTATCGCTGCGCTGGCCTCGTTGGGCGTGCACGGGGTAGCTGCGCGCCCTCCAGCGAGAGGATTGATTTGCACGCATTGTGCCCACGCGCTCGCGGATGCCGCATTGCTAAAGATAGTAGCAAACTTCCGTTGCTTGGGCCCACGTCGGCGACAAGCCAAGGGACGCGCCAGCTTCTGTACTGGATTGCTGCTCTGTTCTCGTGCTGCTTTCTCGAGCTCTCGATTTCTCGCCGTGCCTGGATTTCCTGCCGACATTGCATGGTGGTCTGACGACTTTGCTTGTTTAGCTTCTGGATTCGAATCGCCAAGGCTTCCAGGTCGGCTGTTTCGGCTGCTGATGCTCTAAGTACGCGCCGCTCGCGAAGCAGTCGTCCTACCTCACTTAGATGCTCCTTGTGGCTCTCGGTGCGCAGGGGGACTTCTTTCAGGACGTCGACGTTGGCCCGACTCAACGTGTTAATCAAACGAGAGTTCATCTTATCCACGTCCCCCGTTACCTCCGCCTCCTACCAGTCCTCCTTGGTCTTCTCCACCCCCTTATCCTCCCTTGCCTGAAACACATCGGCTCGTTTAAAACCAACTTGCACACATTGGTAAAGCGCCTCACGATTCTACCGTAGGGCCCGCCTGGGTAGAGGTTCCTGAGCTAGCTGAACAACCACTGAAATGAGCTCGGGGCGATGATCACTGGGGGCGCTGTTCTGAACCAACTGCAACTTGCGAGGCGAAGTAGAGAGAACTTGGATGCGTTCGACCGTGCGAAGCATTACTCGAGGCAAACAAGTTTGATTCATATGAGGACTACCCTTCTCGCCCATGAAGGTGGGTGGTCCAGGAAAGTGCGTCGATATACTTGTCATCCCCTCTGCAGATAAGGTCTGAATCGTGCCGCCGATGGAGTGATCCCCCCCGTGCCGTGTACTACTGCAACCTGATCGAGTGGGCTGTGCTGGAGCGCTCCATTCAAATCAGTCATCACTACAGGGAGTCTTCCCTCGTTCTCGTAGCACTGCCATGATCTCCGACACCCGGTTCAGAATATGCTCAATGGTATTGTCATAGATTTGCCGTCCAGCAGCCGAGGTTTCCCGAGGAGCGAAATATACAATTGCGGAGCCGTATCGATGCCGTGTCTTTCAATTAA